TGTATTCAGCATTCCCTCTTTCTCCATCTAATGTGATTAACATGTATAGATCAGTATCGGAGTTAAAATCTGCCTGCCTTCGCCCTCTCGAGAGCTCTAAAACTCTCAGAGGAGCCGAGTCAGGCTTTATCAAGTCCTTATCAGCGATTAGAGTGGCAACCCCTGCTGAAGGATGGTTTATTAGATCTCCTCAGCGTTAAGGTTCAGAGCGTAGTGATCTTAATTACGGCAATAATGTATAAGCAAAGGCTCGGTGGAGTTCAGCGGTGTCAGAGGCAGCTAAATAAAGGGCCGTTTCTCCTGCACTTGGCTTCTAAAAAGGCACATTTGAAACAGCGGCTTGATGAAAGGCTCCGAGTGAGGRGCATGAAAAAGGGAACAATAACAAACTGACATCTCTTTTTGGAGAAATATACCACGGGGAAAGGCATTCTCCCACTCTTAATCACTATAAAATGATTTATAAAAGGGTTTAGCATGACACAGAGGATGGCAAATGATCAAATCCTGACAGGAGGACAAATTGCAAACAAAATGAGATCAAGTTTATTAGAGTGCCGCCTCTGGGAAATGAAAATCTTTAATTCTCTTTTTTAACATTGACATTTATTTGGCTGCCATGAATAGTGATGTTCACATCGAGACAAACACTCAAACCACTTGTGCTGAACCTGCGACTCCTGTAACTGCTCTGCAGCAATGAGAGCACACTCAATGACATTTATCATGTTTGCCTTTGCAGGTGACATGGGAAACACAGTGTCTTTCAACCAGCCGGCATTCATCACATATTTTATATAAAGTTCGTACGCGGCTGGGTCTTCATGCAGGAGCAATGAGGAGAGCAGGCAGGAATTATCCATCACCTCCAGCACCGAGGACAGATTCTTATTCTTACTTGTCAGCCAGGTTTCAGAAAATCACTTTCAGGGCTTAAACCATCACTTTCAGGGCTTAAACCATTATTATTTAAAAGGGGTTGTTATTGATTTAAATATATGCTATGTTTCAGGATTAGGCAGGATGATGATTATTATTATTATT